CAGCAACCACCACCACCACTACTAGTGCTATATACCATGCTCTTTCTCTACTGCTACCACCACCACCACCACCACTACTCCTACTACCCCACTACTACACTAACCCACACCCTACAGCCCCCATCTTGAAGCAGCTCTTTTTCATGGGAGCATAGCTCTGTTGTAGCCCCCCTTTGGCCAAGGAGAGCTGCTTCAAAAAAGTTGCTGCAGCTGCCCTTTTGTCAAGAGAGCTGCCACCCTAAAAAAGCAGCACACCCCTTTGGTCAAGAGGTATTGCTTCTGTACATAGCTGCTTGCTTCCCCTTTGGTCAAGGGAAATTGTTGCTGCTTGAGTGCTCTGTGGTCAAAGGTATGAAGGATTCTTTTGTCAAGAATCCTACCAAGTGTTGTACAAATGGGCCCTCAAATCCAAAGCTTCTGCTTTGGTAAGGTGCTGTGCGATGAGCCTTCTCTTGACTTCAGCCATGATGTCCAGGTACTGCCTGTGGCCAACCTTAGTGGTCTCCACAATCAAAGGCAATTTGCCTTTGCCACCTGGTGCAGTGGTGCCACAAATGTAAGTCCTCCAGGGTGTTTTTTTTGGAGTGGTCACCCTCAACTTTGTCCATGGCTTCCTTGTGCTTGCTGCATGATCTGCAGGTGCCTTCTGCTTTTTCTTCTTTTTGGCCTTGCCTTTCTTTGCCTTTGGAGAACCTTTTGTCAAGGAACTCCCTGTGCTTGGTTTCTTGTCCTTCTTTTTGCTGGCAGGCCTCTTGGCAATGCTTAGATCTTTTTTCAAATCCATTGGCTCATGCTTTTTTGCAGCTTTTGCTGCAAGTTGCCCTGGCCTTTGTTTCAAGAAGGAAGGGGTTCCAACCCCTTTCGTCAAGGGGCCTTCCTCCCTCTCTTCCTCATTGCTTTCCCCCCCCTTTGGACAGGGGGAGGCATTGGCTGGCATTGGTTTTCTCCGGTTCAGGGGTGGCAAAGCACTTAGGAAAATCTGAGCTGTCTAAGCTTACATCACTAATCTCTTTCTTCAACTTTTTTGGCTGAGGCTCAGGTTCTTCAGCCCTTTGGACAACGGCTGGCTGTTCCTTCTTTACAATCATATTCACAACCTCTTGCAGTTGCTGCACTGTCAATCTTGCAGCACATGATTGCAAAGAGGAGTTTGCCAACCTTCTCATGTGGTACTGCAAGACTCCAAGTCTTTCCACTTTCAACCCAAACTTGGAATAGTGCCTTTCTTAAGCACTGGGTGTGGATTTCACATGTAGGCTCCAGCTTCACTAGCCCTTTGGTCAAGGGCAGCAGGTCTATCAAACCCTTTGGGTTGCAGGCTTGGGATCTAGAGATTCTCTCATATGACCCCACGTGTTGCAGCGAACTTCTTTGCTCTGAAAACAAAGATACCAGCAAGCCTTCATCCACCTCAGGCTTTGCAGTATGCCTTGCACCACCTTTGGACATCCCTTTTTGTCAGAGGGATTCCACCTGTACCTCTTTTGTCAAGAGGTATGTCAACCACAGGAGGAGCAAACTTGAGCCAAAAGATCAATGTCCAAATCAATATCCAAATCAATGTTCAAATCAATAAAAAATATCAATAAAAGTTCGCAAAAAAATCAATAAGCAAAAACCGATGAAAATATTGAAAAAATCAAGTAAAAAAAAGGAAATCAATATCAATAGAAAACATACCATTTCTATTGACCAGAATCAACATCCGAGCCCCAGGGCTTTGATTTGTCCGCTGCATCCGAGGTGGTCCTCCATCTTTTCAACTGTCCTGGAAAAAATGAATTGTCAGCCGTCGTTGATCAAGCGTTGGTCACAAAAGCGTTAGATGGCATCGTCCTTGCGTTCATGTCTCAATTTCGTGCACGCGCGGATTTTTTGTCGATACGCCAAGAAGGCCTTTCACTCTTAGGTCAGCATGCCGGGTGCCCACACCCAAGCGTCGTAGATGGGGTTTGTTGCAAGCTTTCGGTGGATGATCGAGTCCTGCATGGCAAGGCCAAACCGGCAACCGTCAAAAGTCTAAGTACTTGGCTACTGTGTTTTTGACGGGGGCTGTGAGGGTGAAGCTCCCCTCGTGCACTGTGCGCGCTGATCTGGATGGAAAAGATCTTGGCCCCAGAGCCTGTTTTGGTGAGAAAGTTCCTGCAGACGCTGCGCAAGCATTGCAAACTAAGGGTGCCCGCGCCAGCCAGTTAATTTTCGCGGCAACAACTATGCCCTGATTGGTGGGCCGATCTTTTGCGTGGATCCCAACTGCTGGTTTTCACATAGATAAAGAATGACTCAGCAAGGCACGCGTGGGTGGCAGGAAGCGCAAAGCCTGCATTCGTTTCATTCGGCCATGACCCACGCAACTCCTAGAGTTAGATGTGGTGTCATATTTTTGCAGGGTGCCCAGCTATTCGGACATTGGAGACGGGCCCTTGTGAAATGATAAAAGCAGAGCGGTTGTTTGCTCTTGAGCAGTGCGGGGATGGATGATGATGCAGACGGGGGTGTTTTTCATCCCTACTTAGCAGTTGTTCTTGGGCTGATCGATGACATCGATCTGCTTTCTTCTGCCCCGTACCTATCCGCCTCTGGCTGGAAAAAGATTTGCGCGGTGAACCTGCGGGGGCAGAGGGTGGAATTGGTCTTGGAGCCTTTTGTTTATCTTCAAGTAATTTGGCTTATGGTGCAGGCGCTCGACAAGAATATTCATCAATAACACTAAGAGGATGTTGTTCTCGAAGCTTAGGAAATCCAACAAGTTGTCGGAAACGTATGATGGAGCTTACTTTAAGAAAACAAGTTCAACCAAATTTTTTGAGTGTCAAAACCAAACAAACTCTGGCAATCTTTCACAAAACCAAAGCGATTCAATACTGTTTGTTTAACTCTTTATATGGGGGTATATAGGAATGTATGTTCGAACAATGTTTTGGGCACAAACTTTCCAAACACAGTCAAACAATGTCACTGTGCCCCTAGGCATGATGTCATTTGGTTTCTGCATTATACTTTAAAATTATCATCCATTTCCATGTTGTTTCGTTGCTTATCCAGCATCACCTTGCTGCACCGCCATCTTGAGGCCTTGCGAGTTCCCAGTCACACTGGATTTGAAACACCGTCCGCCGCAAGAAGCTCAAGAGAACCGCTGAAGATGGGAAAGGAACATAAGAGCTGGAAAGGACCTGGTGATTGCGTGTTTCAGCTGTGATGTTTGTTTGTGAAGAGATCCCTAGTAAAACTGAACAATATGAATTCCGACCATTTCCTGTGCTTAGGTTGGGTGCAGAGTTCGAAGCAACACAAGATCGCAAAGCACTGCTCGTGCGTGTTGTTTCTGCTGGTGCTTTCGCAGATTGGTGAGGGCCTTTGATGCATAATGATGCATGGACCTTTATTACATAGCTTATATAAGTTTGTTTGGTTTAGTTTGTTTCCTGAAGCAAAGAACTCAAATGCACAGGAATCGACAGCATCCACTGCTGGCCATCCAAAAAGGAGATCGTATCGTGGCAGTTGGGGCCTTGGTGCCTTCAGGTGTTTTCCAATGTTTCTTGCATTTGTTCAAAAATGATACCTTTCGAAACGGATGAAAGGAACATATGGCATATGGTATCGTTTCTTTTTGTTTCTGATGATTCGATTGTGCATTGCCTTCCTTGAAGCCTGCGTGCCAAGGTGAACCATCGAAGCGCTGATGCGCAGGCACGGTGGGCAAAATGGGATAGGACGTGAATAGTGCACAACAGTCGTTTACTCGAGCCCTGCTTCCGATGGATTCAGACTATTCAATAACTCAGACGTTGAGTCAAGGTGAATCTGCATGAGTCTGCATCATTTGTGTCGAGATTGCTATATGATTCACAGATAGGGTGTCTTGCTTGTGATACAATATTTTCAGGTTGGTTCTATGATGCCTCTCATCAGCCGTTTGCCACTTCAAGAGGAATACTTCAGCTCATACCTTCAACATCCTCCGACAAAAGAAGAACCGCTGTGCCTCCTCGCTGTGCTGTTTGACAGTTTTGCTGCAAGAGGGGCTTTGCAGATCTTTGCAGCCTTCCTATTTGGCCCTTTATGGGAATCCTCATGGAGTCCTCCGAACTGTTGGCTGTTAAATGTCGGATGACGCGCACAAGTCGACTTGGAGCAGAGATCGATGAGATGATCTGTAGAAAAATGGAATTCTGCCGCAGAATGCCTCGCTGGACAGAAGCTTTTCTGCCAAGAAGCCTGAATGCGCAAAGTGCTTGCCGAGTCTTAACAAAGGATAGAGCTGCTTAACATACGTTGGTATAAGTCCGTTACAAGGGTAAACATGGGCCTGGGCTACATTGACTCTAAACATCCAACATGCATGCTGGCGTCGGGTTTCCTAGCCAGATTAGTTGTTTTTTCAAGAAAGCCTGCCTCGCAGTTCTCAGGAGCTAAAAAGGCCAAGAAATTGCATGATGCTCAAATGTAGCGTGGAGCTGGCAGATGACCAGCTTGTCTTCAGGCTTCTGCTGGACTAACAGTGAATGGCCTTGCCTGGCGGCGCTTGATGCAAAGGTGCAAAAGTTGGGTATAAATCCCTGGGGAACACTCTGGAGCAATCGCTCGCCCAAGCTACATCTATATACATCATGTGGGACCCCATGTACACATTTGTAGAGCATTTCCGGGGAGTATACCCAATGAACCTTTGATCTGTGCTTGTAGGAAAACTCTGTGCACACTTCAACGGTTCACCTCTAAGGCGATGCTCACGGAAATTCGGGCTCTGAGCTTAGCATACTCAGTACAACATAGGCGAATATTGGTTGCTCACAGGCTGAGCAAACTGCTCAAAAGCAACGTTGTTCTCAAGACTGGAAATTAGCACATCCCAAGCGGGTGCCGTTTGCTCCAAGCATTGCCACTACTAGTGCGCAGCCTGCCGTCATGTCAAATGTAAATTGATCCTGCATGCAAGGCTGTAGGCTGTAATCTAGTCGGGCTGCAGTGCTTAGGTGGCCGGTGTCCTTCGAATGCTCGTTAGGAGACCTGCCACACAGTGGATCTTGCTTCGACACTCAGAGGATTCTGTAGTATATTATTTATCAATCGAAGGACCACAGAGGCTAGGATGCAGCGTCCAGTGAGCAGTGTACTGTGCGCATGATGTGTTGTCAAGACTCAAAAGATTTTACATGTTGTATGGGAATGATAGGGACAACCGGGACAACATTTTAAATGGTTTGTGTTGCAAAGAGGATGTCGGTCCTTGATCGCTTGATGCTCCTTACATGTTTCTTTTGTTTCACCTCTCCAATTCAGAGGTGCATTAGAATCTGAGAGTTTCTCAACGAATCAGCGATCCAGTTTCTCCTATTGACCAAAAATAAAGCAAAAATGAAGACCAAATAGAACAGACCTATTGACAAAAGGCTTCCTGCATTCAACCCCGGTAGGATTGTTTGCAGTGCTTGCTTTCAACTTGTTGTCCGCTTGGCGCTTTCTTGAGATTTCATAGGAGCCTCCGGAAGCAATCGCAGCAATTGCTGCTGAACGGAGCTCCTGGCCTTGTGTGGTGCACCCCTTGAACGATTCTTTAGTGATGCCAGAAGTCACTAACCAAATTTGGATACATGCTGTTTGATCGTGGTAGCTTCAAGCTTCGTGCAGTTTCAAATTGAAACGCTTGTGGATCATGGAACTCTGCGGAAGTATTGTCCTCCAGCAATGGATCGACTTAGGCCTTTGAAGCCAGAGGAGTCCAAGAAGAGGCCAATCAAGATGGGGTCTTAATGTTTCTTACTTTTCTTGTGCGATTGCAGATATGATAGGTTACTTAGGGCACTTTATTAATTTCTTTGGCATGCTCTAAATGCAGAACAAGATCCCCATGGCAATGGCCACTCTAGACCCCTCATTGTGCTTCGTGGCTGCTTTGCCAATCTCAACACAGTAGCAGATACTGCTCACTATGTAACACATTCACTTACTTTCAGTTTCCCAAGCAGGTGTCCAGGGCATTCCGAAAAATGCACCAAACAATTATAGTATTGTTGTTTCAGTACTCAATGCTTACACATGGCGCCATGGTACGAACGCAACAGACCAAAGCCGTCTGTACCCGAGCAGTGGCGCGGGCAGGTGCAACTAGTCTCCAATTAGCATGTTGCTTTCTATTTTTCTTGGTGCTTTTTGTCGATTCCATGTCCTTTGCCATTTCAAGCAATTGGAGTTTAGGGGCAAATCAACTCTCCAATGCTCCTTGTGAAATTCGCCGGGCTTGAGGTTGAACGTGCCGTATTATGCACCATCCTGCTTCAGTTTCAGTATGTTGGGCCTCTTGGTAGGCTACCATTGTTCGAAGCTCAGCCCGCCCACACAAAAGCGTGCCTGCTGGACATGTCAATGTAGTGCTGTTGTCGCACTTTGTTGATGTTAATCGATTGCAAACGCGTTAACCATGTCACGCGATCCAACGCAAAAGGTTTGTCATCAGATCATGGCTGTGTTGCAAGGTGATGCGCTCACCTCCGAATTACCATGTTTGCTGCCGTGGACATTGATGGCAGTCCTGCTGACCTTGCAGGACGGGAAGATGAGATGAAATTGTAGACAGTATGGAAGCACGAGTGACTCGTTGCACAGCACAAGGGGCAGTGATGCTCCGCTGAACATTTAGCTGCTTTCACACATCTCCTTGACCTTTGATGCAGGTCTTGCCGGGCTTGATTCTTCCTTCCTTCTGCCTTCTTTGGAACGATAATATGTTTAAGAATGAGAATTGGGTCATCGCCAAGCCCCATGGCCCTGTGGTAGGTTTGTTTTTGCTGTGGATGTGGTCAGTGTGTTCTGATATGTTGTATTGTAGATGGTCTTTAACCAACTAATCACAACACATGCTTTTGTATTTAGGTGCAATGTTTGCATTTAGGTCTGCATTCTGCATTGTAGACATATACGCTTCACATCTGGACACCGTACAATCTCTTGCAATTCGGTACTCACTCACCGGGCCTAAAGAAGACTGTGACAGCACTGATTCCTTTCTTCTCTCAAATGTGAACATGTATCCCGTTCATTCTCCTGTAGTTCCATAGGTTTGTTGACCACATTGGCTTGTACACTGTTGGAGTTGATGTCTGTTGCTCTCCTCTTGAGAAAATAACAAAGCTAGACTTTCACCCGACGGGTATGAATGCAGGGTTCTCGGTTGCGTTCATGAGACCGATCAGGGCTTGCTGTCCTTCATGGCCGACGTGTACAGCCTGGCCAAACCATCCTGGTGGCATTTGGTGGATGCTATGCAGGCATCAACGATGGCAGAAGCATGAAGTGCACTCACTCATTCGATACGTCGATACTGTGCTTGCACCCAAATGCAGGAAAAGTCCTTTGTTTGAGGCAGCTTTCTCAAGAGGATGCCTTCAAGTGAAAGTACTTGCATCCAAATTTTCAATTTAAAGAAGCACCATGCAGTGTTCTTACGTCTTTTGTTTATGCGATGTATGGGTACGTTTCTTTTTGTGAAGTATTTGCAGTATTTTGCAAGAAGGGCGGTGTAGACAGACGAGGGTGCATTAAGGTAAGTTTCATCGAAAGTAACTTTATGTAATTTTAAGCAATTGTGTGTAGATCAAGCAAACAAAGTTATGGGTTCTTAGATAATGTATTTCAGCTAGCACCCTAGATAGCTTGTCTCTAGAGGTGGGAAACGGCTGCTTCTTTGAAGAAGTCTTCCTGTTAGTGGAAGCTGTTTGATAAGTAAGTGTACACTTCAATGCAATGTGTTTGAAGGTTATATTGAAGGTCATTATAGTTATACTTGCCTTGTAGCAGAGCATGTCTTCAGAAGCTGCCTTGCATAACCTTGTAGAGTCAAGGTGTCGCCAAATTGCTCCGGCGTGAGCCCCAACGCAGCTAAAATCTCTTCAACCAAAGGATCCCTGACCTGGTTAAACAAATAATAACAAATATGAGGAATCAACTTTCACTAAATAGAGGAGTTGAGTTAGACATTATAACAGATACTGTAATATTGTTCAAGATAATGCCAACAAAAACCTCCCGCCGGGCTCGTTTCCGCGCATGTTGTGAGCATTTTCCAATATTATCCACAGCTGTGCTTCTTTCAAGCCGAGGAATTTACTGTGGGCCATCCGGTTTTCGATCCTTTCAAGTGTTCTGAGATTAATAATGCACGTGTTTGAAAACAGCAACAAAGCGTTGTTGCTTCTTTAATTTAAGCGGGCCGAAGCTGAGGTTTCGAGCGATTTGGGCACGACTCTTTCCTCCAGAATTTGCGATCATGCGAGTTAACACGTCGAATGGTTTCCCAAATGTTGGGATTGATTTTGTCGCCGTCGCGCTATCGCGTAGTGGCGACCGACAGTCCAGCAATGAAACCTCCTGCATGAAAGACAGACGGGATCAGGCAGCCGGGAGCCAACGTCAATGCGTGCATCTAGGGACCTGCCAAGAAGAAATCCAGCCACCACAAACAAGTACAAAATATCGAAAGTTGCCCCCCTCATGTTCTCCAAGCCAAAATCGCAACACATGCAACGTATGAAAAACAAATTACAGTGCGTCGAAAATCCCCACCATGACATTTCAGTGAACGTAACTCACATAAACAGGCCGCACTTGTGTGCTGTGGTTGTGTGTTGTGGTTGTGTGCTGTGGATCTGTCTTTGTGGTTGTGTGTTTGTAATTGTGTGTTTGTAGTTACGTTGTGTTTGTGGTTGTGTGTTTGTGTTTTTGGGTTTGTGGTTGTGTTCGTGTTTGTCCACTGTGTGTTTGTGTTGCATTTCTGGTCGTGTGTTTGTGATCGCGTGTTGTAGTGTTTGCGGTCCGGCGGGGAACACTGCCTCGCGGAACTCGCGGTTGAGGTCCGGCGGGGAACACTGCGAGGAGGAGGCGGAGGACGAGGAGGATGAGGAGGACGAGGAGGAGGACGGTAGCCGACATAAAATCTAACAACCCTCACCTGACAGGTGGAGAACAACATCTTGTTGCCCGCACAATTCTGGACAACTTGCTCCACGTCACTAAAGTTTCATTAGGCAACACGATTGAAGACAAGAACGTCAATGTCCCCAGCCTCCCACCCAACTAGCCGAAAGGAGACAACAAGGCGAGCAACATCACCAACCGCAAAAACAAGCTCCGCTACAAGCGCGGCTTTGAGCCCTTTGGCAAGAACATCTCAGTGAAAAGGCTTGGGAAAGGAATATGCGTAGTCAAATCTCTCTTTGACCAACAGAAGCTCCTGCAAAGGCTTTCTGTTCTTGAAGGGGTGTTTGAAGGGCATTGAGAATCAATCAAGAAAAAGCAAAGTTAGACAAAGCCGTAAAGGATTGGTTGGCCCCTGTACACTTGCCTGGCGAGCATAACCCCAGTAAACCCCAGTCTTATTCTATCAATACTTGCAATTCTCTGGCATAGTCATAGACCTTTTTCGCATCTTCAATCTAGATCAAGTCACCCACACACCTGTTGGAAATCGCAAGCTGATAAATCTGGTTGGCCGTTTGGCCTTTCCATGTCCAGGTTTTCTCCTGTTCTACACCATATCTCCCTCAAGTAGTTCTCGTCTTGAATATGTTTTACTCCTTTCTGTTTTCTCAGCTAGAATATTCACAGTGACTCTGCCAGTCAAATAGACCAAAAAACAGTGTGGTACAAATCAACCTGGAGCAAGCTGCGTACAAAACAAGGGGCAAGTCACTATCAATAGAACAGACCTAGAAATCACATTGTCAAGTTAAAGACTAAAAAGCGAAGGTCAGAAAACTTGTTAGCTTGAAGTTCACTCTCAGGAGGGGGGATTAGTGTCACAGTGTGTGGAACACGTCAAAATGAACAACCTACTGTAATGTAAACAGCTTGAGATTGCCAACGTTTGTGAGCGAGTTGATTCGTAATGAAGCGAACAACATATTGCAAGAAATAGAAACCAGGAACACTTTCATGTATATATATGTAGTATATATATATATGCATACTACCCAAGGCTCAAGCCAATCCTCAACCTGCGTGGCCTTTCCTATCAGGCCATAGCGTGGAGCCCGCTCATCTCCCAGTGAAACCCTACTTCGAGGACAAGGACGGACAAGTACACGATCATGAGACGCCGCTAAGTGGTATGCCATGCCAGCAGAGTTGGATCTGGCAGGCCAGATTGCATTACCAAGCCACATCTGGCCAGCAAGTGAGGTTTCAGGTCCTCCCTCTCATGAAGGGACTCAAAGCGCAGATGGCTCCCTGCCATCAATGCAAGAAGGCCGACGAAGAAAAATTCGGTTGCGTTGCAGATCTCGGCCGCTAACGTGGAACTGTGGTCATGGCTCTGCCCTTTGTCAGATGGCAAGGTCCCGGTATACCACTTGTTGGCGGGTCTGCCGGAATTTCGCCACTTACGAACTAGCTGGGTGAGCGATTCACTGCTCAGTCAGCTGAAGGAGGCCCAGACAAGCTTTGGCGGATCATGAGCCAGCACTTCACAAGCACCTCAGAAGAATGTTCTCCCGGTCTTCAAAAAAGCTAGATGCTTCAACCGTGAGGAGGAGAGGATTGTTGAGAGCGCCTACACAAAAAAGCCTTGACACTATTGGCCCAGAAACCCATGTACGGGGGCTAAGCCGTACCAATTGAGCAGTTGCAGGTATGGGCTCGAAAAGTCAGCTGTTTGCCGACCTGCCCACAACTAGCGGGCCGCGACCCGCGTGGCCCCTTGGCGGCCTGACGAATGCGAGCAAGTCGTCACCGCATC